TTTTTATGTAGATATGAAGTGAATATTGATGTTACATATAATATACCTATTCACTATTTTATTTTATGAAACAAAATTTAATTTCCTTGTTAATCCTGTGATTTTATAGGTTTATACCTACACGTCCTGCATGGTCTGACAATGATGTTATTTCATGTTGGGAAAATACTACATTGTTTTTAACCAGTTCATACCAATACATTATTTTAGCATTTGTATTAAACAAGGGATATCCTCATCGAAAACCATTTTACAAAAACCGTAAGCATATTTTAACTAAACACGTTATAAACATCTCGCATATTTTATTCCATCTATTAAATTGTGTAATATATTTTTATAGTATCATTCACAATTGTCATTGTARYATTGACTTTATTTACGCTGATGTTGCAAACAACTAGATACTCTACGTTTACAGACATATTCGACATGGTCAATTTGAAAAATTCTCGCAACGAAAAAGAACAGCGRCTTTTTCTTATTAGTCTACTTGCTTTTCCTGTTTTAAATCTTTACTTGGCTATCAATATTGAGGTAAATATTTATTGTAAACAATGTCTTTAAGTCTGCTTTAAGAATTATAGTTATTTAATTTTTTAAATTGAATTCTTTTGGTTTGTTGTATTTTTCTAGGTATTTGCTGAGTCGAATTTGATGAAAAARTTATTAAGTACCATCAGACAGAAAAAACAGCCTAAAAATCCATACAACCAGCTAATTGCTAGTCAGCCTAACATATTAATATAAAATGTATAATAATATTTTGAGTRAAAGCATTCTTTTTGATTATAGGTAATCTCATGTTAAATTGTCACCCTTGTTTTACCTACATCCTACTGATTTATTTTAATTGTATTTTTATATCAATTGTTTTATTATTAAATATTAGATTGATGTTGGATTATAAATATTTTGATAGTAAAACAATATGGTTTTGTAATTATTATTAATATTTAATCATATAGGTAAGGTATATCAAAAACATAAGTTTTTAAAGTAAATTATAAATATTAAAATATCAATATATTATATTACACATGGTATCTATGTATCATGTATGTATATAAGGTGTAACAGATAGAACTGACTATTTTGGAATAACTTTTGTTCAAATTAATAATTTTTATCTATGTACCTATTTATTAATTTTTCATTAAGTGACCCTAAGGCTTAATTTATAATAAATTTTATGTTTTTTTTCTCTTAGTACCTACTAAAAATAAAAAAAATTTTAATTTAATAAAAAAAATGTTGGATAAATTCAAAAAAGCCTATTTGTGAATCTTATAAATTATAAGAACAATTTTGATGGTAAAAAGATTTATCTAAGTCAAGCAGCTTATTTTTTTAAATTTCAAAAATTTTTTKGTTAAATTAATTTGGAATGCAATAAAATTTTTAGAAATATGATTTCRAAAAAGTGTACATCAAATATTTCAATTTACCACAGGTGGATAGTACTAATAATTAGTACTATTAATTTAAATTATTTAACCTAATTTATTTTGCTATGTACCCAATATATATAAAAAAAACAATAATACAGAATAATACAGATCTCATTATTCATTCAAATATAATTTAATTATTGAACTTGATYCATGAAAAATATCTATGTGYTTGATTTTCAATTAACTAAATAAAAATATGCACTTTTAATTAAAAATATGTCCTTTAAACACAATAATGGAAAAACATGACCTAAARACTATGGGTATTTGATCATAAACGTAAAATGTACTGTGTACCTACTTACTAAGCATACCATAAAGTCAACCAGAAAAAGTATGCCAATTCATGAAAGTCCTTGCTTTATTTGTTATATTTCTGGTTTTTTTATACATGTTATTATCGTTTTCTTATTATTTATTTTAGGTGAGTTAAATTTACCTCTTTATTGCTCAATACTTTAATAAAAGTTCTGTATTTGTAAATATTTTTGTAATTTGTTATAATTGTAAGTTTTCTAAAACAAAGGTAAATTGATTGTATGATTTGACACAGTGTATTAAAAATGCTTGTAAACTTATATCATCAGATACTTCTAATAGTATTATCAGTGGCGTATTTAGAATTTTGTCAGGGGGGTATACATTAGCAAACATTTAATTTCCCTAAGGGGAAGGAGTAGTTCATTTAACATCGAAATCACAATATAATAAATAAGTAGCAAATAAGAAACCGGGGAGATGTATCCCCCATATCCCACCGTAAATATGYCACTGAGTATTATAATAGTYATATAATACTATAAAAGTATGAATATTGCATCAATTTCAGTATAATGTAGAAATGAAATGGAACATAATATTATGCTGACAAAAATTTAAATGCAATAAATGTCAATTGTTTAAATCAAAGTAACCATTATAAATGTATAACTGTTCCTTTTATTTTAGTTCAGTGATAATAATTATTAAAATACACGGAAATTAGTTGCTTACATTAAGGTGGTTTGCCAGAAAAAAAAACTGTACTGTACTGTACTGTGACAATATTGTGTGATATTGAATATTTCATTTTTAATGATGTTAAAATAATAATATTGATTAAAATCTCCTCTAAATAACCGCAGAACACTATTTCAAGTGCTAATTTTTGTTCAAACATATGTATTGAAAAAATTAAAATTAAAAATAAATCCTGGACCATTCTCTAGGAGTCTAGAAGATTTGTCAATAAATGTTAGGGTTTTTACAAGATGAAGATGAAAATCACACAAGTCTTACAATTTTGTCACAGCCGAGGTACATTTCTTCTTAAAGTAACTGAATACTTAATACACTATTGGTGTGCACAGTAAACACTGCATACATACTCTAATATTCATTTACAATCGCTCATATTGACATCACCCAGATGTACCTGTGACATAAATTGCCTAACTTTTACTCCTTAAAAAAACACCGACTTTAACTCTCTTAACTTTTTTACCACAACTTTTAAATAAATTTAAATATTTTTAATCCTTAAAGACAACTTCACAGCTACCTTATGAGTAAGGCCRTGTTAATCAAATAGCATTGTAATTAAACATTACTTTTTTTAACTGATGTATTTGCGCATGGGCAACAAAACTTTATTTWAAAAAAATGGAAATCTCTATTTTAAATATAATTTTCGGATCGATTGATTTATTTCAAAACATTTTGATGAATCAACTTGTACTGTTATCTCAAAATTGGTTAATTTAGAGCTATAATTTAAAAATCTTTTTAAATTTGAATATTTAATTTTAATTTAATTTTAAATTATTATTATTATTATTTTCCTCTTAAAACTGTGATGTAATCAAAATTGTTATTAATAAATCATTTACTATTTATAAAATTTTATTGTTATGAAATGCAAACAGAATTAAAAGATATTTATACAGGGTAACGATTGATAATGTGTACCTTGTTTTTTGGGACACACAGTATATATATACATAATTATATCTTCATTATTTCAAGAGATGTCACAATGTATAAATCTTCATGGGATACCTTGTATGTCACAGGTACTTAGATAACTGAACAAAAGTCACAATCCAGTTTGAGGCATAATTATTAATATAGTAATATATTAACTTAATCAATTAAAATGATAAAGTACATTTGTTTAATTTTTAATGACAAAATAAAATATTTTTAAATGAATATTTATAACATATTGACATATTTCTATATAGATATTTTTTAACAAATAAATATAATAAATATTAGTTGATTAACATTTTAACAATATAATGATGTTATTTAAATATTCAAAGACAATATTTATAATTGAAATAAAACATATTAAGTATAATCTTACACTTTATCATAAACAATTAATAAACAATATCACATTCAACTTATTTCTTTCATTAAACATTTTTGAGCCGCGTTAAGAATTTTCTCATCTAATTTAACTGAAAAAAAAATTAAGACAATAAAATATTCTACACTTTATTTTAAACACTTACAAATTTTATGTTGTCCTTTAATTGGAAAATGATTTGCCATCATGATTGGATCTTTACATATAAATATAAAAGGACTTTCATTTTCTCCTTGAGGAAATTTTGAAATGTACTCTTCTTGAGACAAACAATCCACTACATTCACACAGCCCAACAAACATCCAGTTGGATATCGTTTCGGAAATTCAATATCTTAACACAAAGTAGAAAAAATTTAATTTAATTAATTAATTAATCAAGAAATACAAAATTCTAATGTTTAATTTTAATAGATACCTATTTTAAATCACAAATTATTTTGTATTCAAAAGTTTGAACACCAAGGCTCAATAAAATAATACGAAGATATTGATAAATTGTTTTTATGGAGATTTATAAAGGTTAAGAATGCTACATGAATGTTCAAAAATTGAATATTTAAAACAAGACAATTTTTTACTAAACAAAATTAGTTAATTTGTTGTAACTCATAAGTTATAAATGTTATAATTAATCATAGGCTTAAAAATGTTCACCATGTATTTTTATTTTATTTTTTTAATAGCTGAAATTATAACTTATTAGGAGCCTCAAGACTTTCAAATGTACACTTACCTCCTTTTAAATGTTTATAAAACGTCTCAATTTGTTTTATTTCCTCTAGACTGGGTTTTTTAGCAGTTGATGCAATCCAAAGTCTTCCACGGTGTGAAGTAAACCATGTTCGCCCTTCATGACTAAAATTAAAGAAAAAAAAAATGTAGTAGTGAAAAGAAACTAAAAAGTAGCATTTAAGTTTACTCATTAATTATATATATATATATGAGGTAACCATATTAAAATAAATTACAAACCGCTTTTAATTGTATAATACCTACTTGGAAAGAGTAAGTTTTATTTGTTGTGAAGATTGTTATTGTCAATTAATGACAATTTTAAGTATATTTAAAAATGAAATATTAACGAAATCTTAATATGTTTGATTGAATAAGAAATTATACACATAGTACACAGATTGTTTAATGATATTTAAGTTACCTTTTAATGTTAAGTAACAAGAGAGATGCATATGGCTGATGCATGCTCAAACAAAGACCTGGATCAGCCATCAACATTAACTCAGCATCTTGTACCCTACTGAATCCTGGGTTATTTTGTATGAGAGGCTTTTGAAGATCAATGGTGTGTCTTTTAATTTTTTTTATAGCATCATCATTAAACTAAAAGGCAATACATTTTTTTTTTTTAAATATATATCAAATGTATTTAATTATAATCAGGGTTCGGATTTGAAGGCAAAAGCCTTTCTTATAATAATAATAATAAAAAAATAATTTTTATACAAAAATGTGTTTCATTTAATTTCCGAGACGTATTTTTTTTGCCTTTTTACTTATAAATTACTTTTTTATGTTTAATTTTCAGTTGATTTAATAATTTTATACACAGCTTACATATTATCGGTACAAATGGATAAGAGCTTATGAATACGGTGCATTATTTGTTAGCAAGAATTATTGTCAGAACCTGACCGAGTTAATACGAATAAGAGGTGCTCTGGACCGAATTATTTCAGATCGAGGTACTGGTTTCACATCGAAGCGTTTTGAGGAATTTTGTCAAGTTTATTCAATCAAACATACATTGAACTCGTCCAGACACCCGCAGGCGAACGGGAAGGTGGAGAGAGTGAATCGGACATTGGTTAGCACCTTAATGATAAATACTGACAAGCATATTCACTGGGATAAGGCTGTCAAAGAGGTTGAGATGTATTTGAATACTGCATACAATAAGACTACTGAGAGGACGCCATATGAGTTACTATATGGTTACACTCCCAAACTGACCAACGGTGTGATACAGCAATTTGGGTTAAATAGTACTGCATGTCAAGACCCAAGGGTCGCTCAACAAGAGGCAAGGGATAGAATTTGTGAGAAACAAAAAGGCATGGCGAAGTACTATAACCAGAAACGTGTTGATAATGTGGTGTTCGATACTGGAGAGGTCGTGGCAATGTCTACGCTACCAATAGCCGGAGAAGCGTCGAAACTACAAGTGAAATACAGGGGTCCTTTGCAAGTACTTAAGGTACTTCCTAATGACACCTATCAAGTTGCCAGTGTGCCCAGAGATGGTGGACGCATTTTCAGTACCACTGCAGTTAAAACAGTGGCGACTGGTTGAAGATAAATGCGACATCCAGGAGGAAACTAGCAGTTCAGATGATGAAACCATTGAAACCGCATACACGGATAACAGCATTGGGGAAGGGACCGACACACAATGTGGCGAGGTGCCCGAAGATATACCCAGCAGAAGAGACAGACGTCGTCCAGCTTACCTGGATGACTATGTCAAGTGAAAGTCAATACGAGGACGCATTGATGTCAGGACGGCCGAGTTGTTGGCAACCCTGACTCCACTCCAGGAGACCTGTCCTCTCCTGAGCCACATACGACATACACACTGTACACAGTTAGCTCCCGACGATCACAGCGGTGTATCGTCATCCGAGGACGCTTTACCTAGTCGAGGCATATGTGCCCTTTGTTATTTGTTTATATCTAGTTTTTGTTAATAAACGTCTTTAAACATTATTTGTGTCATTGTGTAATTGTGTAAGAACCTGACACCAACAGTTTATGTTATGTTTCTATAATGATCTATCTGTTGCCATCTTATTGAGTATTTAATATGGCCATAAAAGTATCTGTACTAGCTATTTTAAGATTGAAATATGTTCATAATGCGTAGATTCAAGACTGTCAGTTTGCATTTGTGGACCGYAATTGTCTTTTAATAATTTTTGCGCATGTTTATTTTATCCTGATTTTTTTTTTATTATGCCGTAAGTTAAACAAAATCACGATTCTAAGTTGAATTTTTTTGTAGTACCAACTAGTAACTGTATTTATTTTTGTAGAATATTTTTTAATTACTTTTTATATAAATGAAATGCCTTTTTTTACATTTTAAATGCTTTTTTTATTGATTATATTGCCTTCAAATCCGAACCCTATTTATAATATATGAAAAAATAAGTAATATTATTTTATACCTTTATATCCATTTTTATCAATGGGTTGTTTAGATGTTCATTGATCACAGTTGGAAGTGTCCCTTCACCATCAGACTCTACATCAATATCATCTTCGGCATCGGATTCATTGTCTTCATAAACTTTTCTACCTGTTAGTATACAATATAACTGTTATTTTTATCCTTATCTTATTAGTTATGTATACATAAATAATTATATTCATTATATACCGGCAAAATCAATAGTAATTTTTTTTGTTTTTCTTGACCCGTGTTTCTTTTCTTGGCGTTCTTCTTCTTTCTTTTGTAATTGTTCTCGTTGCTTAGATGATAACCAACCACTATTAACTGAATAATAATCCATTTGATCATCTATTACATTGGTACGCTTAGCACTGTAATGTAATAAAAATATTTTTTTTTTTTAAACTGTAAGTGATAACACTTAGATATTCTTAACCTGGTACGATCAAACTCTAGTAGCTTATTTCGATGTTCCAGAGCTTTATTGTCTGCAGCCGAAGTAACAGTTTGTTCAATTAATTGGTTATATAATTGTTTTGATTTATTATTATTGCATTTCAATAAGAGTTTCTCTTCATCTGAACAAACCTGACATATTTAGGAATGATTTTATTTCTGAACAAATTTTGAAAAATTTAATTTTTCATACCAATTTACCACATACAGCGCATGGACCAGATCCTTCTTGTTTGCATACAATTCGACCACAGTCCAAACAGTTATTTACTAAACCATGTCTAGATGCTTGACAATCACATTTATGACGACCTTAATGACAATTCAAAATTAAATAAATATTTAAGTGAATAAAGATACATTTTTACCTTCTAAAAACACCTCTTGTCGATTAACACCTTCATCTGTATAAATGTTCACATATTTTTTATTTTTTGATTTAGATTCTTTTTTCTGTAAATATAACCAACGTGTATTTTAGGATATCAATTTATACTTTTAAATTTTGAAAATTTATAAGTGTCATCACTGGATGACTATTTTTATCAAGCGTATTCATGTATTTTTATCTCAGCTAATACTCTAATTGTACCCATGAGGTACAGTTGTGTATATAATAATAAAAGGAAAAAAAATTTTTAAAAACACAGACATATATCCCAGGTTTAACAATACTTATATTAACATACATATCTCAAATAATTAATAACCTTAAGAATGAAAACAAAAATTAAAAAATATACAAAAAACATAGTTCTACATTGACAATCTAAATAATCCTTAGTCCTTATTAGGGAAAAATTAGCAGTATAGTAAGTAGAATATATTGATGCAAAGAAAATATATAAAATTTGTGAAGAATAATAAGAAACTTTTAAATTAGTAAAGTTAAGAAGAGATATATTGACTAATAAAACCCAAATTGGCTTAAACTCTACTGTCAGCAGGCAAGGATAATTTTAAACATATAAGAATATAAGATGTAAGATAATAGATTATGCATTAATAAGTGATCCACTTAAGAATAAAGTTACATGAAGTTCATGTTTTATGATTAATTAATTACACTTAATTGAAAATAATATTCTGTTATTCACTTAAATAAAAAACTTGAGGCTAATTTTAATTAGTATTAATTTAATCTAATTAAAAGACTATTAACCCAATTTATCACATTTTAGAGCAACAGATTATAAATTTATTTTATATTTTTCAAAATGTGAAAATACTTTATAAAAATATTTCCAATAATTATCAATAAATGTACCTTTTGATTAGTATTTGTGTTTGTTTTTTGTGGATCTTCTTTTACAGAGGATTTTGTGTTTTGCTTAGGAGGGTGTGTATTCTGAACACTAGATGTTGGTTTTTGGTTGACTAAATGAAGCAATCAAATAAGATTTGATCAACAAATATATCAAACAAATTTTTAAAAAAACTTACAAATTCTATGTTTTTTTTTTAAATCTATTAAGAATTGTTTATGAATTTGAGATTTGATATCTAATAATGAATTACAGTATCCATCAATGTCTTTTTCTGACTGCATGGAAATTATGTACCTACAAACAAAAACTGTATTATCAAACATTTAGTTTCTAATAGAAAATCATAATATTAGTGTAGGTACTTACTCAGCCATGTCATTTTGTACTTCAAACTGTAATAAAGTAGTAAGTTTATCACAAATCCACTGAATAAACTCTTGTTTAGACATTTTTGAAAATTAAAAAATAAAGTGAATGATATTGTATTAAATAAATATAATTGAAGATTAAGGAAATTGTAAGTTTACAAGGAAACGAAAAATACTCGAAAACAACACGAGATAATTTTCGAAATAAGTTATCACGGGTAGCTATGATACGGCATTTACACATAATCTAACAGAAATTGATAAAAGGCCCAGTGTCTCCCAAACCATTTGATATTTACAGCGTGTTTGAACCATAGATAATATATTATCTATGGTTTCAACGAAAATATAGATAAATTAATACAAAATAATTAAAAAATTTTTTTTAAACTAAAAGTTATACAATCTCTACAGAAGAGTATGATTTGAAATATAAGGAAGAGCATTAGTTTTGAATCAGAGGATTTTTGATTGAAACACTTGAATTTTTCTTAATTTAAATTTAAACAGTATAATATTATACCTATGTTCATGATTTTAATTAATAAAGTTGTTATTATATAAATACATACATAAATATATTAGGTATATAATATTATATATTTTTTCTTTATTCTTGAATAATAATATAAGTACTCTTAGGCACTAAATGAATAGACACTCCAAAAACATTTCACATTATTACTGTTCGCATAAAAATTGTGAAAGTACTAAACTAATATCATTGGCAAATATAGACTTTTCGACTTTTCTCTATTTCAAAATATAGGTTCATTTTGAAATTGCAGAGTTCCACGTGATCATACCTATGCACAATGGATAGGCCTGCAGAGGTTATAACACATATTTCAGAAAAAATATTTCAACATGTTACGGGAGAGCGCATGCTTTTAAATCTATATCTATGGAAAGAGAAGGTGATGTTCTAAAAAGTATGAAATATCTAAGAAGACACCTTTTTCCATTTCAAAATATACATTTTTAAAGTGAGGGCTTGAGACCGATAGAGTTTTAACCACGTTTTTGAACATAATATGATAATACATTATATGATCACAGTTATTATTATCCCACTCTCAAATATCGGTTGATTTTTTCAATTACAATTCTACCAATTTGTTAATCGTATTCAAAAGGCTCGACTCTATAAGTAAACCTTGAAAAAATAAAGTAGCTAAAATAGGTAAGGTSAAACCATCATTAACTACAGAAGTTATTTGTTTCTTACACCAAGAACAATAATGTATTGATACCTACACTTAATAATTTAACTCCAGTGTCCTCTATTTCATCAAAACTGTAACATTTTGCAATTGATTTAATGCCCCTCAAAAATCATCAAATTTTTCAAATTTTAATAATCCTGAAGGAATTTAAATATTGTCTCTACTGTCACCGCTGAGATTTCCGCGTATAACGTTTCTATAATAACTCATAACTCATCGTAAAACATATTAATAACAATCGACATTTGACAGTGACGAAAGTACTGCAAAATTGAGGCTATTCATCTTACTATTTATCTCATTAGCAATTAACTTGATTTGAGAGGACGTCAAGATGAAGACACCTTTCTTTCCTTTCTTTTCTTCTGTTTTTTTTTTTTTTTTTTTGAGCGCTAACCCTTCTATTTTATTCGAAACGGAACGCTGGAAATGCCCAATTTACTACTGCATTAGAAAATTGTCAGTATTTCTGTTGCAGTCGTTGCAGAATATAATAATCATGATATGTTAACTTTGTACCTTTCTAGGACTTTGTCCTAAAAAAAAAAAAATTGCTAAAATTTCTTTTAACTATAATAATAAGTGATGAGAAATGTTATGATATAAGTCGTGGGAAGTCTGATTTAGTAGACATAATTATAAATACATTCGAAACCAACCGAAGTCTTATAACTGCGTGTCTGCATGGTGTTAAAATTCCCAACGATTTTAAAGTATATATATAAATACATAATCATCTCCGGTACGAAATATTACGCAAAATCGGTTAGAAAAATAATTTTTATTCAACCCAAAAAACATATATCTATGTAAAAGTACATTATTAAAAACAATTATTATATTATGGTATACACAGACAAATTAAAGAAACTATTTGTTTTATTCGGCTTATCATTAGTAGTAAAACAGTAAAAAAATAGTAGGTATAACATATTATTATATTAAAATATTATGCAATACCTATGCTAAACCTACAGCCTAATAAGTGCAGTACCTCAGCATAATAAGTGTAAAATAAATAAATAAATATTTTGAATAATGCCGCTAATGTTATGAATATTCTGATTTACAGTAAATTCAAAAAAGCGCCTTATTGGCATGGTATCGATTTATCTATTCATGCTGGATCGTGCCCTCAWAGTCGCCTTGTAAAAACGACACTGCCAATAATTTCCAATCGGTTACCATCAGCCACAGAAATAGATATATCTATATCTGTGCTATCTGCCCTRCCAGCTATATATTTTCGTACAATATTCTGCACTTYTGTATTTATTTATGCGTACATGATCTACGTCTGCAGTATAGCCTTGATGTCCATGATTATGGCCCCGACGTATTTACAACGTCCTTTGCGGTCATCGGTGGTTCGAAACTCCTTGAGGAATATACAAATATGTCACCACCAATCGGCACTCAACAATGCATTAAAAAATGCATTATATTTGTGCGGCTCCGTGGCTCGATATTCTTTCGTCATCGTTACCGTTTTTCGTATGAAAACTTTCATTTTGACTCTTCGTCAAGTTCGGGACGGAAGTGAATTCGTAAGTTATAAGGATGATCTGGTACGGTTGTTTGTATCAAATAGCCGTGGGGCTTCTATCTTTATGGAGTAAGCATATTATACATTTTAATAGACATTATTGTTTTTTAGCTTTTTACGTATAAAATAATAATATATAATTATAAATAATATTATGTACTTTATCGAAGGTGAACACAATTAAATTATTACCCATTTGTTATACCTTATACTACTAATTTCACCTACCTACCATAAGTATACTTGTCGTAGGATTGTTGGTGTTTATTATGATAATATTTTATGCTCTCATGTTATTTAATCGTCGTGTATAAACTTGAAACATCGTTTGGATATATTATTATTGGTTTGTTATCGAAAAAGATCCTATTTTTTTTTTTTTAAACGAAATCATTGAAAAATACAACTACATTCAAAAAATTGTGTGTATTTTTGCTTGTTAGTATTTTTTATATGTTATATATTTTATTTKTAAATATTAAGCGCTGACCTCATAAAGTTTTAATTATTGAAATAAAAATGATTTCCGGAGTTCAAATATTATAGATACAATACATACAAATAACAAATCAATAAAAAATAATATAATATTACTCAACAGCCTATTCAGTTTATTTAAATAATATAATATTTTGATGCTAGCTTAAATAATAGTTAACGGTTATTTTATTTTGAAAAAAAACTAATAATATAATGCTGAAAACTGGTCCTATTCCTGGCGTACGGAATGTCATTACAGCTCGCGGCTGGGCATACGCGTTGCAAGCTGCTGTCATTATTCAAAATTTGAATTTTTGTCTAGATACGAGATACCTATTAAGAATTGTTTATATCCATAACAGGGGACAGGGGCGACAAACCTTTTGAACACTACGTGCCAAAATTTATCTTTTTTTTCGAGCGTGCCATGAAAAATATTTTGTTATATTCAATATTGTAAAAAAAATTATCGTAATTCGATTGTATGATTAATTTATTAGTATAAAAAAGAATAGTTTAGGTACATACAACAATAATAATATTACTTTGATAATTATTTATTTTGATGTTGAATACTTGATGCTAATTCATTRATATTTGGTTTATAATTATAGTAACTTTAATTAAGTACATGCGGCACTGCGTTCATCAGTTAGACGATTTCTTAAATCAGATTTTATAAAAAAATTTCTGAAAATAGTGACTCGCGAATAAGTTGAAGAAAAAATAGACAAAACAGCTAATTTATTATTTTTCAAGTGGAAAAATCTCTTGGAATTTCATTCCACACTTTCTAAAAAAATTTTTTAAGTAAAAATTAAATATGTAACAAATAATAACTATCAATAATTAATAAATTATGATATTAAAAAATAAAAACAATAAACATTGAGATTTAATGGTAGAGTAAATAAATATAAATGTACTACTTATTTGTGAATGTATACGTTTTTTTATCGTGGTACGAGGACCAACACCAAGTGCGTACCTACTTATAACTTATTAATATTTATCAAACTAAATAATTCAAAACATTCATTTTAAGTAAAAATGTATTAAGTAGCTATTTAAAAAATGTTTAAATGTAACAACATAACTACGCTCCGCAGATCACGTTTAGTTTGTCGTTAGTTTTAAAATTAGAGTGAATCGATCATTTCCTATATGTACAAGAAACAAGACGGCCAGGTTTCTCAATTTTTCGTTACTTAAAGTAGATTTATTGTAATGTTTMATTCGTTTTAGACATAAAAAAGAACATTTAGTTGTACAATTTGATATATCTAGCCACCTAGACAGTAGGTGTACACATATTTTAATTTATAAATAATACATAGGTACATTCGTACATATTGTGTAGTAATGATATGTTCACACATCATTATAATAAATGAAATAAAATGTAAAATATTCATAAATAACGGCCATAGAAATCGGACATTTCCAATGAAACCATTAACATACGAYTATATTATTTAAATATTATACAATCACGATCATAAAGCGTAGGATGCGTGGCTTTCATATATGCAACTAGACAGAAGGTATTAAAATGCTATGCTGCCGAAGAGAAATCTTCTTTTYGAATGTGTAAAGAATCTTTTTGCAGACCGGCCCGTCTGCCTCTAGCTGGTTATAGCATGTCTGTGTGACTGTGTCAACCCTTTAATCAGTGCATGGACACTATAGGTACAACATTACAATAGTAACAACCTCCCAATATCGAATCCTGCGTGTGACAACTGGAGKACTCCTTATGACGAGTAATAATCAATGTGTTTAATTATTTTTTAATTATTCGTGTATTTTGTGTAATAATTACTTTGTGTCGCCAAATACTGCTACAGCATAGATCAGATGAGGTTCCCAGTCAGATTCCTAGAACGTTATTTAGAAACTTAGGGTTCAGTAATATATGAAAAAAATAGTAAAAATAAAAATATGCAATAATTTGTTAAAAAAAATATAATATGTGTATATATGCTATGTGCTTACGTATTACTATTTTTCTTTATACTTATGACACTTATGCACTGCTAAATAAAACCTTAATAGGCTGTAGGGTGTCTCCATATTTTTAGAAAATGACAGGGGTGCCGCGAGTCAAAAAAAGTTGGAAACCTCTGGCATATAGGCCATATAGACTATAAGAAGCTGCGAGTCAGGTAAGGTATTTAATATAATATTTTATATTGATTGCGATTATTTAATTGTAGGTATATTTTACATGCAATTATACTGTAAGGTTTATATTATAGATCAAATTCTCGAATACTCGATCTTGAGAAACCTTCCGAACACCTAGACTCTAGAGGAATTTAATAGCGTTATTTTAATATTTGCATCTGGTGTAGTGGTGTGGTTCTCTAATGAGAGTAGGGAATAATATAAGTCTTTAACATCTGATTTTMATAGAACTAATTGACAGGAGTCATTTTTATATTCAGTTTTAATATTTTTACTTTTCTCTTTTTTTATTCTTTTCTCGTTTTGCGTTAGGTATTGCAGCGGTGACAGCGCGATATCCAAGTTCGTGTAAAATAATRATACACAAAGCACCAAATGGTCTAATGGTTATAGTCAATTCTCGAGTAGACACAATTAAATAAATTGCAAATTTTCCTAGTAGTAACCGCAACACGTATGGCCTAAAAATTAGTAAATCGCATACTATTACGTTAGGTCGTTAGTGTTGCTATAGCCAATAGTTAAACTACCATGTACGTTGAATCGTTCGCTTATTGACATTTAAGCTCTCTGAACTATCAGCTGTGCCCAACCGTTGTCCACAAACGTAAATACGTAATAA